GAACTAATTTCTCGTGCGCTATTACAAATTACTCGGGAAACAATCCAACTTTCGTTTCTTGAACCAATTACGGTAGCGAGACCGAGTAAGTCGAGCAGGAAGCTAAAAGAGAAAGAGAGAGTGAGAGAGGGATCGGACCTTGGTGTAGTTAGTTGGCGCTGGAGCAGCCAGCAACCAGCATCCCGCGTACGATCAATACGCGGGAGCGCACGACTACCACACGAAAATACGGCAACGACTACCATGATCGTCACCGACGAAGACGATGACATGACTACCACGTCCGTGACGGGGGCTGGCTACGTACGATACCACGGCATAACGGCCTGGTGCCTCAGGGTGAGGAGGAGGTGGAGGAGGAAAAGGGAGGAGGACGTTGCCAGGCGACGGAAGCTGCCTACCCGACAGAGTTCATCGTCCTCCGGCTTCGGCTTGCTTCTTCTCTCCCTTCCACCCACCTATCCACCCTTCGTTCATCCTTCTCCTTCATCCATTCCCCTCCCTTGTTACTCCACTTTGTCTTATTCCCGCTCTTCCTCCTTTTTCGTCCTCTCTCTCGCGAACCCCACGCGCATTCCCTCTCCGCGATGCGATGGTTCACCGTGTTGTACCACTCCCTGATTCCCTCTCTGGCTTCTCTTTTACATTCTCGTTCCTCCTCGCCACCTCTTTTTCTCCCTTTCGATCTCTTATTTCTCCTATTGCGTAGATACACACCTATCTTCCCTATCACTTTGCATCTCCAGTGTGCTCGTATTCCACGTCGCTGTTTTAATTTTCCCAGTGTTTTCCCTCGGGTTGGGTACCTTCCTAAATTCATTCCCTTCCTCGATCGAAGTCTATCTCTTGCTTCCCTTATCCTTTCATACAATTTATTCATAACGCTTGCCATCGATCGATCATACACTATTCAGTGACAACAGTCTACATTAGTCCTACATTTAATATGATAAATGGCATTGTTTAATTGAATTTCTTCTTACTTAGATATAGGTAGATTCCATGTCTGAAGAAAATCGCTTTGCTTCGATCTCGGTACCGACACCCATTTTACCCCCCCTCGAACCCGTTGCTCCCCTCGATATGCACGCAAACGTGCACACAGGAGGAGCATGCGCGTACCAACGTAACGCTTATCCAGACTCGGAACTGGAACCGCGAAAAAACGGAGGGCAGCTGCCCCGCGGTAATTTCTACTCCACCTACTGCCTGCATACATACATACGTATGTACATCCACGCTAGCTTCCCTTCTCTGCTCGACTTTTCATCTCTCGAAATTGATACACGCTTCTCCGCGCGATATTCCACCGCTGTGGCGGTTCTCGCCCTCTTTCTATCCTTCCGTGGTCATTATGCGTTTTTCAGTGCACCGCGGACGTTTTTAACGATCATTGAGCCGGTCGCTGCGCATCGACCGCCGTCTCCGAGGCCGTGGGCCCGCGAATTAATCACCACCGACCGTGTCCATCGATTTTACACCAACGTCTACGATTTAAATCCTTCGAGGCTCGCTTAACGCAAGAATCTTCACCCCACTTAGTATACATATTCCTACCTCGTTTAGCATGCAGATTTCATAATCACTAATTTGCAGAATTGATATCGCAACAACGTATCAGAGGCTATTTTTGATAAATAGACTGTAGGTTCATTTGCGTTTATAAGAAATATAATTGTGGGAGAACATGGAAAATATTAGAAGCAAAGTGCATGATATATTTAATGAGTGAAAGCAAAGCGTATCTAAATTTCGTTCTCTAATCACTCTATTTTGCATAAAAATCTATGATCTAGTAACAAAAGTGAGCAATGCTTCGTTGACTGTTACACCGAAGTGTCAAAGTCATGTACGAGTATCAGCGTATGCATATCGGATTTTCTCGCTTTCTGATCAAGTCGTCGCCCCGTTGTTCGGATACGGCTTCGACCGCTGCTGTTTGCCGATTTATTCTTTTTCCCTTGGACGGTGGACACAGAACGTTTGTTTCAAACGCACCGGCCGGAGTTCAATGTCCAGCGTTGAATGTCCGTTTCCAATAATATTCCAGCGGACAGGGTATATCTTCCTCCGTATCCCCTTAGCTTTCCAGCTCACCGTCACCGTCGCACACGTGCGTTTCGTCGTTTCTTTTTTTGGGCCCTCCAGTTTAAGCCCCTCTCACTTTCCACGGTTTACTCTCCCCGTCGATTGTTTGTCTTTCCCTTCCTCGCTTACTTTTTTGCGTTTCTCTTCGTACACGTGCAATAAATATTCTGGTAAAAACGGGGAATTTTTGTGCACGCGGTATTTTCACTTTCTTTCGTAAACTCAGAACGATTTATGTCCCTTCTCTTTATTTAACCGACTCCTTTATCGCATCGTTTAACTTTATTTACCAGATTGTCCAGGTTTTATGTATTCGAGAAAATAATCGGAAATCGAAAATGATAAGATGATCAGAGTTCAAGTAGACACGATGTGCTCGAAAGTACGAAAATGACGCGATTAAATAACGAGATGAGAATCCGTGATTCACCGTCTTTGAAACTAGAGGGTAAACACGTTTAAAGAATGATTTCACTCTCGCTCTTGTCACTTACCCTCACTGCTCATCACCGTCGCAATGTAAAAACCAACGCACTTCCTCCGTTGATCTCGATGAACGTCGTTTTCATCGTCTCTACCGTCACTCACTCTGATACAGTGATTGAAGTCTTTGGCTATATCGTACATTAACGATAACTTCGTCTTAGATTGGGCACAATTGGCTCGTATAGGAGAGTTTACCTTGAAATCGTTTCATCGACAGTAATTCCATTGATTCGACTTTCTTTGACACTATTCATTTGACGAGTCATCGTTCAATTATCAACAAATATTTACTTGAGGTAGCACATCGATGTACAATTTTGTAAATCACTCGTTGATTGAACTTTCTTGAACGTACACAGCAAATTGTTAAACATCACATTTCTTTGCATAATCGAAAATAGACGAGATACCATTAGACTGTAGATTTGTATAAAAAATAAAACATTCGTAATGTCAATTTAGAAAATGCAATCTAAATAGGAATTTCTTTTGATCTTCAAAAACGCTAATATCATTATTTGATGTTATACATGTTCTTGAATGCTGAGCGGATTTTCTGTATTTTCTACGAATGCATGAAATATACGGTGTACTTATCGTCTTAAAAGAACGTTTCTCTGTACCGTAGGTCTTGTTATCCGACTTACTTTCGTTTATTTCCGATGACGGCACAGCCGCATGCACCCGCTGATTGCCGACGATGATGAGCTCTTTCCGAAGAGGTATTTCCCACGTATATATCGCGACGTTGTTCCCCTTTTCGTGGGACCGGACTTGATGCTCCGGTCTCTTCGCGCGTTATTGTACAGTTAATTCAGGTGATTTCTATAGAACGCGAACACCCGCGACCTTATTCCATTTGTCAATCCGCAATCAAAACGACGAACATCTTCTGAAATGAGCGATTTTCTTTGTTAAGTCCTCGCGGGAATACGGAATCAGAGGATTTCATATTAAAAGTAGTAATCTTGGCTAGGAGAGAGCATAGACCGAAGTGCAAGGCTCTTGTTACAGCGTCGGCTTTTATCTAAATTGTGATATACTTGAAAGGTTCTGTCCTCCTGCGTATGAATAATCTACTTTCCACGTGTTCCTTGATTAATTGACCAATTTGATTGGAACCACGAGATATCAATAGATTCTTATATAAAATGAAACATTTATAAAATGTCATTAAGAAATAATTTATTTTATCATTTAATTATTGCGATATCCTACTCACATTTGATGTTTTGTATATTTTAATACATTAGGTGTAATCTTGCTAAAAGCATAAACTCCTAGATGTTAGATATTATACTTAATATAACACCGAGTTTTATCACGAGATTATACTGTGAAGAGTTTCTAATAAAGCGTGCGAATCATTGTATCGCTTGTCATTTTGTACCAATCTTATTTAAAAGAATGGAACAAATCGAGAGATTTCACAGGATTATTCTAGGTCGCTGTTCGTTTATAATAAAATGCGCTAACAGATGGCCAGCTAGAAAGTTTCCTGCATGCACAGGTGAAATCTCGCCGATACAGATGTTACATTCTCATTGATAGCGTGTTTTTTTTTTTTTTTTTTTAAATTATGAAGTCATTGTATTCCAAGAAAGTGGACCATATTAATTTTCACCTCCTACCGACATCCATTGTTACCAATCGTAATCGAATAATTCGCGACGAGCTCATACGATTTCACGTTCCGCTTACAATGGACTCTTCGCGAAACTGTTCAAACTTCGCCAGAATCATTCGACGTTTCGACACGCTGCACGTATAGAAATCTTGGCAGCCGTGTATGCGTTATCAATACTACTTTGCAACATGATCCACCTGCAAAGGACACCGGATATCTTATTGACTTATGATGTACTCCGTGTGTGGCACCGATGCGTATAAATAGAGCATGCGATGCAGGTGCATCTGTTCGTACTTTATACGTTCGATGCACGCGTTCACACTTTGTTAAGCTACCGTCTAATATGAGACCTCCAATATATATCTTTACATGGTAATTAGAACAAGTTTGTGTTTTTACGTTAATCAATCTTGGCTGACTCGAAGACTTTTTATATGTCTTTCACTGTTTTCGCGTTTCTTGTTTTATCGAGTCAACCAACTGCGCAAGAAGCGGGCGCCTCATCCGTGACGCCATCGAAGCCCCTTGGTGCTCCTTTACTTTTTTCTTCCTTTTCCCCCAGCGAATCCAGCATTTGTATCGTAAGGGCTTCCGATCCCACGCGCGTGTGTACGCTTTCGAACATTGTGAACAGTCGTCCAGACTGAGCGAAACAGCTTTTGCATTGGCGTAAACGAAATGTAAATGCAAAACTTACTCTTCTTCGAATTAACTTTAGAACGAAATTACAATTTATATCTGTTAATAAGAACATAGTTCAAGATGCTTATACTTTGTTTCGTTTGCTCCATTACAGAATGTGGATCATAAGATGAAATTCCGCTCGAAGAAAGGTGCGTTGCCGTTTGTCGAATTGAACGGCGAGGAGATCGCGGACAGCACGATCATCCTGCGCGAACTGTGCCAGAAATTCGGTAAGGACCTTGACGTGAGCCTCACGTCCGAGCAACGAAGCGTTTCCCACGCAATGATATCGATGATCGAGAACCACCTCGTTTGGGTGGTCACGTTCTGGCGTACCAAGAATTTGGATCAGGTTCTGAAGGGTTACAAGGTGAATCTGCAGCACGTGCTCGGCACACGCGTCCCCAACGGTATCCTTAACTTCTTCTTCAAGCTCACGTTCGGCCGCAAGGTGAGTTTTGATTTCCTCTCGTTATAGTCTTTTACTGAAAACTACTTAACATTACTTCTCTATCATTATATAAAATGCTGTTGTTGAAGTATAAAGCAAAAAATGTATAGTTATGTTATGTAGATTGTAATGTGTATAATATTTGTTTCAGGGTGCAAAGAAAGTGAAGGCACAAGGAATGGGTGTGCATACGCCAGAAGAGGCGTACCAGTTCGGTTGCGCGGATCTCAAAGTTCTGTCTGACGTGCTTGCCGACAAGCCCTTCTTCTTCGGAGATGAACCGACTGCGGTTAGTTTTATATATCACATATTCACTTACAGATCGATACAGATGTTAAAATCTATACTACGATTCGTAAATGTTTTAACTTATCAGAAATCGTGCGAGCATTAACGATTTTTATTCCCATTTGTAAAACAGTTGGACGTTGTGTCGTTCGCGCACCTAGCTCAGATCCTGTACATCGACAAGGACACGCAGTTCAGCCTTCGGGACTACATGCAGGAAAACTGTCCGAATCTGGTTGGACACTGCTCGCGTATGAAGGAGCGATGCTTCCCGGATTGGGACGAGATCTGCTCTACACTTGAAATGAACACGCATCTGCCGAAGCCGGAGAAGCCGGAGGAGAAGGAGGGCAAGGAGGACGCGAAGGAATCGAAGGAGTCGAAAGAGGAAAAAGAGGGCGACAAGGAGAAGGCGGACAAGGAGGAGAAAGAGTTAGAGAAAGACAAGGAGGTCGATGAGAACAAAGAAAAGGAGAAGGAAGGGAAATAAGCTGTGTAGAGAGGACACGAAGCAAAAAGTAAAGCCGTTAAAAAAAGAGGGGAAGAGAAGATATAAAACTGAAGAAAATCGAGGGTGTGATCTGGTGAGAGAGACGAACATAGAAGAGGTTGAAATGGGGGAGAGAAGGGACAGGTGTAAGATCGTGTGCGTGCTTATGCGAATGCGTTTGCATGAATGTTGCGTGAATGTTGCGTGAGAGAAAGGGGTGTCGAGAGCATCAAAAATAAGGGTCGACGTGTGCGCGAAAGAGAAAGATTCGAGTGCAAGAAAAATGATGGTAAACGGGGGAGGGGGTTACAGGTTTAGAGCTCTCTACTTATACGTATAGATATTAATAGACTCATAATGTTAAATACTTCGTTTATATACGTTCGTAACACGTTACGCCATTTATCATCGACGATATCCCAGCACACCCGGATCGAATCGAGATATTACAAACTTCTATTATCGCAATCCGACCCAGGGCCCTTTTTCTCCCCGCGAAACATTAATACGATAAGGAAGACGTCGGATAGATCAAAGGGAAATAAGAATAATTAAATAGTAACGAAACGGGGCTATCTCATAAGTCATTAGATTTATCGTAGGTTTGCAATATATCGAATGCAATAACCTGACGCATACAGGTGTCTGAGAAATCTTCTCCGATCGAACCAGTGGCCAAACCGAAACGCATCGTACGTCCATCGTGCGAATAAAACGTGACGCGAAGAGCCAGTTTTTAAATTCGCGTAGAACCGAGAGGTCACTTATGGTTGCGATGTGTACACGATGATACGAGAACGCCCCTGACACTGATTCAGGGAGAATGGCGTCTTGCGGTCGCTTCTTTTCACCATTGGCTCTTACTGTGCAAAATGAGTTAAGTACCTAGCGTTCCCAGCAACGTGCCCGTATATCACATCGTGATCTTCGTTTGATCGTGCTATTTAGTTACGCTTGTACTTCTAGAAATGCAATTTTTCATTCCCCATTTACAATCAGATTCTAATCGAATCGCCATACAACACTCTCTTCTGATGCGGTCAAGTACTCGAGCGATTCTTGATTAATCGTTTTTCACGGAGAAAATAGATTAGCTGGATATTGAATATTCGAGCGTATCAGGAAGATGAGTGGTGTTTTTAATCCGTGGTGTATCGTGAACTTTGTAGACTACTATTTTTGGATTTCTTTGTACGATTCACCCTTTGACCGATTCGAATCGGTCGACAACTTTTTATAATCCATTGACAATGTCGATATCGACGAACGAAGAATCATCTGCGATTACGGATTGACGATAAATGATATTTACGATGATTTGTATATTATTAGGGATATATTTGTATTGTATACACGCGGATGCGATCCGAGCGAACGGCGCTCGTCGGGGATGGACGTTGGCGCCGTGTCGTCCTTGTTTCTTCTTTTTCTTTCGTCGAGATAAACGAAGTGAAATTCTAACGAATAGAAAACAGGAATTACGAAAGGAAACCTGGAAACGTCGACGAACAACGCGTCGATCATCTTCTCTCCGGATTTCCTTTCGGCGCCTCGAGAGAGAATAGCAGATAAAAGAAAAAGAAAAACGAACGAAACGCTGTGCTGCCCCGTGTGTTAGTTCAACTTTATTAAATGACGTTTTTCTTCGGATGTGTGAGAAAAATTTTACATAACGAAGTAAAAGCATGAAAAAAAAACAAAAATACGAAAAAGTGTCTTTCACGCATCGAAATGGAGAAAGAAACACAATCATACACAGTTACACGCATACGTACACGAGATACACGTTACACGCAACAAACATTGCATACACGTACAGAAATTTTGATGTACAATGTTATATCGAACGGGAATTGAATGTTTCTTTTGTACGAGGCCGTCTTTAACAAAAAAGCATCGGCCGGAAAAATAATTCCAGAAGACACAAAATTAATATAATTAATATTTAAGTAGCTTACTATAATTAACCGACGATTACGATTACATAAAGAATAAAAGGAGAAAAACAGATAAGTAAAAAAATTAGTGTGTGGAAGCTGTTTATACCTTAGGACAACGCATACGTTTACATCCGTGGTTACATTATTATTATTATTAATTAATTAATGAATTATAGATTATTACGAGTACAGGTAAAAGTAATAAATAATGAAAATGATTAGTGACGCGAATGGAAATGGAGAATGAGATGATGGAGGAAGAGAGAAAGAGATAGAGAGGAAGAGAGAAATAATAAGGACACTTGGACATGACCACGAAACGTTGCAAGCACAGTAGGTAGGCACACATCCAGTACAGTAAGATTATTATAAGAAGAATATTAATAATAATTATAATATGACTGCTCGTTTTATGCTCGGCGCTATGCATTTCATTGTCATTATTATATCACCATTTATTAACGATATACATACGAACAAATAAAATGTGTTTATAAATATAATGTGATCTTTACGAAATTTTCACTGAACTTTATTAATTGAACCCGACAATGAATAGTAAGCGAAATATTTCTATATTAGCATACATCACCTTTGTTTACAGTCGTCTTCGTTAGCTACTTCTAAAAAATGATATTAGATTATTCCCAATAATTTAGACTTATACATATTCTTGTCATTGAAACTTTTATTTTTAACATTTGTGATTACATTTTCATTTTAATTCTTCATTAACAATTTTTGAAGATCAACAGATGTGTACATTCGTCATTATTTATAAGTTGTAAGATTGATAATTCCTTCTGATGAACTCGATATAATTTTTGAGTTCGCATACAACATTATAGTAATACTTTATTAAAAAAAGTGGAGTGATTACATCGAAGATATTTTGTTTAGTGCTAGTTCATTTAGGTACTAATAGGTACATACAGATCATTTACGTGCCATGAAACGAAGAAGATAACATTGAAAGACGTAGACGTAGAATAAAGGCATGGTTGATTACCATTTTTCCTTTATTATCTAAAATCTGGAGATTTATATAACAATGTACAAGTCGTACAATGTCTGAACGATCGTTAGCGATATAATACTTCTAATTTGGCGTAAATTGTTCACCTCTAGCTGTATTCTTTTTTTTTGTAAGTGCGTGTACGTAGATAATTAGCAACGTGCTGTGACAAGTTTAATTTCGTGATAAAAATTTAACAACACTTATAGCTTCGTGACGATTTTTTGTAAAAGAATACAGCTAAATAATACTTTTTCTTTAATAATTATAGCTTTTACGATCTTCTACTCGGCACTGAGATATGTATAGTATTGCTATAATTTAATGCTATGATCAACTTATGTAGAATTATTCAGCCTCTTATATTTTTTTAATTTGACGATAACTATATAACGATTTTCTTTTATCATCTATGCATGATTAACTCGTTCGGACATAATGTTTGTCATTAACTCTTCTCGAAAGAATACTTAAAAGAAAAATAACGTCTCTAGTTTTAGACTAATAAACTTTGAAAATAAGAACTTGCTAAGCAACCTAAGCAAGTCACTCTTTTAAAAGCCAATAAATTCCTAGACGTGTAAAAATAGATGTAAGCGCATTTAATATTGTTAACGTATGGTCCCTACTGATCTAAAAATACTCTCCACAATTCTGTTCTAATTACTTCCGTTCGCAAACAAATTGTACCTGCAAAATCCTTGTAAAAAAATTACGCACTCGTACAATCATAAATCAACTGTGTTTTACGAAAAGGAAGAAAGTTTAGCAAACTATATGTTTTCCATTTGTATTACAGTCTAAGTATCATGATGATCTCGATTTCGAAATCGATCATGTTCGAGGTAGTGTAATTATGCATTTTTCTTGGAGAGTCCTTAAAAATTCTTAAAATAAACGACTTCCTCCATTCAAGATATCATAACACGTTACTTCCACATTTGCGATTTATTGTTCGATCGAGTTCATTTGTTTGCTAACAAGAGCCGAGATCATGAGGACTTCCAATCGAGTCGCACAACTCAAATGAACCGTACGAACGGTTAAATGCAAACAGCCAAAACAACCGTTTTATAAGGCTGTATTAGCCGTGGATGATTGCACGCCGGACTTGGGATTCGTTTGCCCGGCGTGTGGTTATAGCTACGTGGACGCTGCGAGGCTTATCGACGTTGATTCAGTGACAGCTGCACGTGGTTTCACGTCTAATGAATCGTAAAGCGGGAACTCGCAGCAGAAGAGGAATTTCAGGAAGCGCGGAACCTCGACATAGAAGGACGGCGGCATTGGTATCAGCGGCGACGTGGACTGTTTATAATAACGATACTCGGCATTGCTGTTTGAGGAAAGAAAAATAATTCTATGATTCTTTGTAAGGAATTTAGAGGAAGTTCGAAGATAATCCTTAATTATAACAAGTGAAGCGGCTGTAAGCGACGCGAATGAATACTTACTCGCGATATCTCTCATCGGCGGCTTTTTCCAACAGAGGCATCCCGGATAAGAATAGAATAATGAGTGTGGTGAAGATCGGGGAAGCTATAGCGATCCATTCGAAGCCTTCAATTACGTTCAATGATATCACGAATATGCCCCACCACACCACTATTTCTCCGAAATAGTTTGGATGCCTCGAAAGCCGCCATAAACCTGTAATTTACGAAACGAACGAAATTTCTCAGATCTAAGTCAAGGTCAATAGAGATTAGTTTATCAAATGTACCATCGTTGCACCATTTGCCATTGTTCACAGGATCCTGCTTGAATGAAAATTTTTGTAAGTCGGCATAAGTTTCGGCTAACAAACCAGTCACGAATAGACCGGTGCCGGTACTATCCAGAGGCGTCATCGTTTTAGGAGCCGGTGGTATTTTGTGTCGCGGCGAGTTGATAATGATCACCGGTAAACTGACCACGTAAACCCAAACAGCCTAAAGATGATATAATCAATTGAAAATTGCTATAGAGAACGAGTTGCAATTTATTTTTCCGTCCGATTACCTGAAATGTCCAAAACACAGCAAAACGGATTATGTTGCTACGACGATCTTCAAATCTCTTATCGCGACCAATTTTAAGGATGCGATACAGTAAATACGCAGAGAGACGAAAGCCCCATAAGCAAACGAATATGGTAACCATTAATTGCCTACTGTCATACGGCTGCAATAGAAAATACGACATACAAATGTTATACAATACGTATATACGTAACAACGAGATTAAAACCACAAGACAAGCATCTGAATGAACTTTTAATAACGTTATCGTTGGCCAGTTATAGGCCTCTGAAAAAATAAACGGTTTTATGAAAATAAACTATAGCGATTGGAATTCGCAGTTTTGCCGACGTGCGTGTTACCAATTATATGTTACATGAATAACGCTCGTAGGAGTCTACGCGTGTAATTCGTACGCGTACAAGGGGAAGCGGTTTTATAATTAGAGTACCTTGCCCACTTGGCCGAGAAAGAAAGTGAGGAGAGCGAGGATGATGAAGTTCGTGCCGCCGGCGAAATCCGTCAGCTTGTCCAGTTGGAAGGTCGCAGCGATCGTGAAGAAGATGATTTGCATGCCGATGGTGACGATCGCGCTCACCGCGAAGTGGTCCTCGTCCAAAACATCGACCGCCATTGATCCTCGTTGATTGCCCACCCCCGCGCTCAATGAACTATTTTCGAATCTGGAATCGTTAATGAAGCTTTCGCGTCACTCCTTGACACGAGGAGTAAAAATCATTTTCACCGTGCTCGTAGGAAATAATACTTTAATCGGTCAATGATAATCTATTCGCGTAATTTTTAAATATTTTATTGGAAATTAATTAGCCGTTAATATTGTGGCTCCAAATAACTTGGTCCAAGACTACACTGCGTAATATTACACAATTACGAAACAATTATGCGCAGGTGTGACTCTAACTGTACGATGGCTAGTAGTATGGCCATGGCATTAGTCAGACATTGGTTTATATAGAAGTCAGTCGGATATACGGTATTTTTGAGATTCTATTTGGTTTCTTATATAAGAAACCTTGAAGCCTTATAACACCTGGCTATTTTTCATTTATCGATTATATAGGATCGTGCACATTGTTCAGCACGATATGGATGTTTATGTAATATTTAAAGAATATTGAGTATTAACAATATCATTTTACCATTCAATTATTTTAATTAAAAAAAACAAGATTTGAAGCAAATTCGAAAACAAAAAAATAAAAGCAAGTATCTCTATTTCGGAAATTTAAATAAAAATTGAATGCTCTTGTACGTAAGATAATATTATTCAGAGTTAGTATTCTTATTATTGCAGATTCTTCAGGCTTTAACGGTAGATTTCAATTATTTTCATTCGAAGAAGTGCTTTCGCGATGTAGACCGTCGCAATGCAGTATCATAAAAGAGATCATAAAAACTACAATTTCTTTTATTGCAGACGTTCCAAACTTATAAACAACCACTTTTGTTCCGTGCACTAGAATTTCTCTGTCATAAATAAACGCGAGAAGAAACGAAACATCGTTACACGTAGGAGCGAGGAGAGATTAGTAATACTAATATCTCCTCGGTGCATATACTTACCGTTCCTTAATTCGAAACTTTCGCATCGTACACTCGCGATTCAATCTCTAATCTCGAAATAAAAATCCTTTCAATGCGAAAAGAAAGACACAAAATCCTGTAGCGTATTAATTATCTATTGAAGTGCACGTTTCATCAGCGATGCACATTTCTGAAGTTTCAATTACCAAAATATCTTTCACTGTATTTTTATGTGAAAACGTAAAACGAGCCGACGCCATTCACAAAAACGTAATTAATTCCTGTGAAAAACGTCATTGTCTAGTCGACCGTCGCACGTTAAGAAGATGAATGTTGATTACACATATCACTGCCAGCCCGAAAAGGGAGCGCGAGAATTTGCCAAGGCCGGGATACGATTCGTTACGACGGGGAGGCCAAAATTCCGACTGAAGGTGGAGAGAACGGAATCGAAAACAAAGTGTGCCCGTGCAAGAGGAAACAATAAACGATTACCTCGACGGAAGGGAACTTCATCGTAGTAACTGGCAGAAACGGGTAGGCTTGCTTCCACCCGCGGCGACAGGCAGCGGCAGGACTACGAGTGGATTCAATGTCGAGTCTAAAACGAGAAACCCATGATCACGTGCTATGAGTCGAGCCGCGGGCGCATCCGACGCTCCTCTTCTACTCTAGCTCGATCCCTTTCTCGCTGCAAACAACCCTCTCCCTCTGGTCGGTACTCCATGGTGTCGACCTATCGGGGTTTACTGATTCGCGTTCGTTGTCTGACATTACGACTTATTGTAATGAACTTCGTTATTAGAAACTCTATTTTAGATCGATTTAATACTTTCACTCAAGAAACGCATGTAAAATATAAAAAAATAAAAATGGACATAACGAATAGGGTGTGTCCATTAGGGTGCGTATTAGGAAGACGGAGAACTTGCCAGTCGAGTTTTTGTATTTAAAATTACATTGAAAATGTTCCGATTACACGACAGTGAATTTTTAGTCCACTTTTACTTGAATTTTTTTATATTTGCCTTTAATTAATTATTTTTATAATTATGTATTTATCATATTTATTATATTTTATAATTTTACATAATGTCTCCATAAAAGAGCTTTCTCATTGATTCATTCTGGGATGAAAAGATAATAGTACTGTCTTTCTGTATTCGCGTGACTGATTTATCGCGATTACTTCCTTTTCGTAGAGCGCTGCAATCCGCGCCCATTCAGCATGGAATCAATATGTACACGCGAGCGCGAATGAGTTTCCAGTTAAATAGAACAAGGTACGGCACACTACATTTTCGCATTGTATTCCCAAAGACAATGAGCATTTTTATCAGATGTCCTTTAGAGACGCTCGTCTCACACGGATCCCGACTTCTTTTCAGGCTGTTTGCAAGGTCAAAAGGATGAATCGCTATTGGCTGTTTCCCTCAATTCGATTAATAATTTATTTTAATATCGTACATATTATATTATCATAATAGTAACTTTACAAACGATAACCAGAATATCTTATCTTGATCACGCGTTCACGCGTGCATATGATTAAGTCCGTCGTATGTTCATTATAAATGTTACAAAATTCGTTTCAGTGAAAGTAAATGATTATAATAACGTAGTTGATGATGAGCGGGTCAAATTTTGGTCCCGCTTTTCGATAAAAAGATCGCAGAGATCCATCTTATGGAAATGTAATGTCTTATGGTATACAGTGCTTCGATTCCAGAAGAAAACGATGTTACAAGCATAGCAAGTCGGTCTTTCACTTTGAGTATCCTTAACTTAGGTTTCCTTGCTAATTGAACTGCACAGTCTTCTCCCGTTCCTTGAATTCCTGTTATTATGTCTATTTTTTATCTTAAGATCTGGTATATTTGCCCCAGATGTGAAGCATAAAGACAGATGCGATGAACAGGAGAGACATAACGAGTACAGGTACTGGTCCTCTGTAAAAATAATACAAAATTCTTTGCAAACTGACTTTGCACATGTTTTTCTTTTCTATACTTTGAGGTACTTACACTTTGATGCCAGGGGATTCGTCAGTGTAGAACCTCCACATACCATCAGAGCCAGCTCCTGTATTTCTGTTCCTAGTTGCAGTAGCTACTGTGGTTTTCCTTTGTCTAACAGTAACACCACCACCTGCTCTGGGTGCTATCGCCTTACTGGGCGATCGTCCAGCAGCCCCAACTGAAGTCGAACTAGGTGCAGCAGGCTTAAAAAGATAAATTAAATAATCATTATTTATTTCTACACAAAAAGATCTTATACTAACAAAAAAGTTACCATTGTTTGTTACTTCTTCTCTTGACACAGGTTGCTAATAAGTATGAAATGGTCGAGAAAAATTTGTTCCACAGTTTATAATTTGGTGTAAACCAACGATTTGAATTTCTTTCACTGTTTTACGTGTTTCTATTCAATTGCATATAAAGGAATACTGAAAGTCAAGATTCACTTAGTATGGTTCCGCGTGGAAAAGTAAACTCCGTCTGTTGTTTAATCTACACGTTTACTGGCAGTATGAAGCACAGTTTAAAACGACGTGTCAACGATGCACCATCGGCAACATCCACGTAGTGAAATGTAGACACGTCATCATACGCTGTTAAGATATGGTTCTCGGCGTCTGTGACGCACGAACATATCCGTACTGTTATGTCGTGTTTTCATTGAAAAGATTCTTGCATCATGAATAATATATATTATAGTTAGTTTGAACTGGTTTGAATAAATTGAGCGGGCAAAAATAGACAAAATCATATGACTAATAAGAAAAATATTCTTAGATTGATTTTATCATCGAGTGTCCAGGTTGGACACTTCGTGAGATTTTTGGGGCGCAAGCATTACAAGAAAAAAGGGGCACTACTATTATATTTTTCTCAAAATTATGACTAGAAAACGTATTAAAAGTTTTTGTAGTTTTCCTTTTTTTCTTGTAGTGCGCGCGCTCTAAAAATCCCACGGAGTGCCCAACACTGTCAATGCTCTGTTATCCATCTACGGATACGCTGTCGTCGTCATTCATACCAATTCATACTGGTACTGGTACTACGCGACACAAAGTATTTGTAGCGTCCTTCGGCATCCATTCAATTTATTGACGGAAACTATATTTGTTGAATAACAGTACATTGTTTCACTATTTGGATTCTATTGTATACTAACTAATTAAGATAAGGAGGTAATAGAATTCTGATATTTAGATATAAAATAACTTTTCTAATTCATCTGATATTTGGTATTTTAAAACATAACCTGTTACTTTTGCAGATAAACTAGTTGGTGTGCAATTATGTCGACTGACTTTTATATACGTTACTACGTAGGACACAAAGGGAAATTCGGTCACGAATTTCTAGAATTTGAGTTCAGGCCCGATGGTAAATTACGATATGCAAATAACTCGAATTACAAGAATGACACAATGATTCGAAAGGAAGCATATGTGCACCAATGTGTGATGGAGGAGCTGAAGAGGATTATTCAAGACTCCGAAATAATGCAAGAAGATGACTCCTTGTGGCCACAACCAGATCGTGTTGGACGTCAAGAATTAGAGATTGTTATTGGTGACGAACATATATCGTTTACTACTTCAAAAACTGGTTCATTGTTAGATGTGAATCAGTCACGAGATCCAGAAGGATTGAGATGCTTCTATTATCTTGTACAAGATTTGAAATGCTTAGTCTTCTCTCTTATAGGACTACATTTCAAAATTAAGCCAATATAAATGATTATGTTAAACTATATTACTTAAGTGACTTTACTGTAAGGAAATACACTCTACCTATCATTTTCAATTATATTTGTTTTTTTATTTAAGTATACCTGACCTTAATTATCAAACAAAGGACATTAGTCTTTTATTTAGTAATAAAATAGAATGAATCAGAATTTAATTGATTAAGCATAGATCTATTCTGTCATTAATCATAGTGCCATTCTGTAAGTGTGAGTATGGACAAAAGCTTTTTATAATGTGGAATGCACTGTTTGGAAATAAATTATCAATAAAAAAGATAAGAAGTGACTATAAATCATGCGAACGTTTCGTCGCATTTGACAGTTGCAATTAAATGTCTTAAATACGAAATCTTATCAGATTGGAGAGAATCTCATGTGAGTACCTAATTTGTAGGTTATAATATAAAATCGAAAACGGATTACTGTGACCGTTTTAGGATACAAACGTAAGCATAGCACTTATCTATTGTTATTTTAACAATTGCAGACATCAAAATGTCATCGGAAAACGAGGCATCAAATTCAAATCGCGATCGAGTCGTAACTGACTCCGTACACTCGAGATTTCGATCATCACAAGTATACTGCGATATCTGTGATATTTACATTCCTGCAAATCCTACTGCCATAGCGAAACATTTTAATAATTCTCATCCCTCTAAGGAAAATTGTTGTAATTACTGCAGGGGCAAGGTGTTTACTTACGTACAAATGTCTGCTGATGATTCCAATGAGATTCCAAAGCAGTTCTTTTACCACAAATGCATTAATTCCTGATTGTAAATATGTATTGCAATATAAAGCCATTCATAATTCACATTAATATATTTAAAAAATATATTGTCTCAACGTGGATTCATGCAATGCGTGTATTTAAGAGTACAAAAAGAATCTCGGTAATGATAGGAAACAAGCTTACAAGTGTGTTAAAATTTATTTCAAATACAAAGATACATGTATTTGTACGTAATATAAAGTTAGTTTTTGTACAAGTTGCG